CGGAACTGCTCTATTTGAACGGGAACAAGGATAACCAGGCTCTTTGCTGAGTCTCCGGTTGAAGGTTGCGGTTTTCCAGTTTGTTGTTGTTTTCCGTTTGTATTATAGGGCATCTGTATTTCTGTTTCTTTCTTTAATGTCATCAGAATGATGACAAAAGCTTTTTTCACAAATCGGCCCTGCAAAATGCAAACTATCAAGAAATCAGCTGTAAAATATGATTTTTTCAAAGTTTTTTTTTAATAATTGCAACAGCATTTAAGGCAAATTAATCATGTTATGTTTGAATAATTTACCGGTCATCTATTGGCGTACAAAAGCTGCGCGCCTAGTCATGTTTACAATTTGTATTTTCCTTCAGATAATGATGAAGTTAGATATTGCAAAGAATTCGAGAATACTTTTTTATAAAATATTTACCTGAGCTTTTGCCTCTTGTTGCTTGTGTCTGCATATAAAACCTGCGTTAGCAATATCAAGCACCGTGACCTACATCAACTGGTTCAAAAATATTGATTCTTGCTATATATATTATGTCAAACACAACCTGATCGCAGATATTGTTATGTGATGAAAATACATAAAAAAAGCTTTGATTGACAAGGTCAATAACACTCAGAGACCATCGTGTTGGCCCTGTCAATCTATACTAGTTAGTACATTACAGCTGTACCGACACTTCGTACCTGACTTATTCCACGAAAGTGGGTCAAACGGTAAGCCAGTTATAGTTCATATTTTAAAAAATATAGAACTTATTGCTGCGCTCCGCTACGCTACGCTTGCAATAAATTCCATATTTTTTAATATCTGAACTATAACTTATACATATTTATTTTATATGTTTAAAGATATGAAATGTTGCATGTAAAACTTCATCCAAGAGACACGTGGCCAAATTGAAGGCTGCACAAAAGGATGTAGTATCATTTTTATTATTATTATTTTTATTATTATTTTTATTATTATTATTATTATTATTATTTTTATTATTATTATCATTATTATTATTATTATTATTATTATTATCATTATTATTATTATTATAATCATCATCAACATCTTCATTATCACCATTATCCTTATTAGTAGTAGTAGTAGCAGTAGAAGTATTTACTTTTATTTTGTTAAGTAATGATCATGAAATAAGAACAAACGCAACAGTAAACGCGTAAGTTTTCGTAGTTTTTGGCCAGATGGAGAGCACTTGTTTTTTGTGTTGTTTTTTGTGTGTTTTGTGTGTTTTGTGTGTGTGTGTGTGTGTGTGTGTGTGTGTGTGTGCGTGTGCGTGCGTGTGCGTGTGGTGTGTGTGTGTGTGTGTGCCTGCGTGCGTGCGTGTTACGTGCGTGCGTGCGTGCGTGCGTGCGTGTGTGTGTATGTTTTTTTTTTTTCGCTCAGACAAATAATTGATGGTTTATTCGTGTTATAAGGATTTAATGAAACTGGAAGGTTATTCCTAAGACCAAGTTTGTATTAAAATTAATTCAAAGATGGACATATTTTGCAACATTTTAAACTAAAAATGCATGTATAGTCCTTCATTTGCTTCTATTATTCTTATATATTTACGTATATGGATATTTCCTGAACAAGAAGAAAAGAGATATCTTCTGTTAAAACAAAACAAAACACAAACACACAAAATGACACAGAAGTATTCAATTTACCCCCAACTGTTGCACAAGCACAAAGTCGAAATATAAACTCAAATTGACAGCATTATGTAACTTTAATTTAAATATCGCATAGAACGTGCATGATCGTTTTTTTGTGTTTTCTCCCTCCAAAATGAACATATCTTACAAGACGGATTTCAGATTTAATCTGTCAAAAAGACAGGTAGTTTTCTTTTGACACTATGTTAAGATATATTTTGCAGCAATATATTGCAAAAAAGAAACGACTTACCGGAGTGCATATTATGTAGAAATACCGCTCCACCGTTGTGCACGCAACCATCTGCTCTACCGTACCAAGCTATTTTATCCGCCGCCAACTGTTCTATCGGCAACCCGATGTTTTACCGCAACATACTGTTCTACCGTTATTAGCTGTTAAATCTGCAACCAGCTGTTCTACCGTTATTAGCTGTTATATCCGCAACTAGCTGTTCCACCGTAATCAGCTGTTATATCCGCAATCAGCTGTCCTACCGTAACCAGCTGTTTTATCCGCAACCATCTGATCAACCTTAATAAGCTGTTATATCTGCAACCAGATGTTCTACCGTAACCAGCTGTCACATCCACAACCAGCTGTTCTACTGTTACCAGCCATTATATCCGCAATCAGCTGTCATACTGTAACCAGCTATTATATCCGCAACCCGCTATCCTATCGTAACCAGCTGTTTTATCCGCAACCATCTGATTAACCGTAATTAGCCGTTATATCTGCAACCAGCTGTTCTACCGTAACCAGCTGTCATATCCGCAACCAGCAGTCCTAACGTAACCACGTGTAATATCCACAGCCAGCTGTCCTACCGTAACCAGCTATTATATTTGCCACCAGCTGTCCTACCATAACCAGCTATTATATTCGGAAACAGCTGTTCTACTGTAATCAGCTGTTATAGCCGCAGTCAGCTGTCCTACCGAAACCAGCTATTACGTTTGCAACCAGCTGTTCTACCTCATTTTGCTGTTATATCGGCAACCACCTGTAATACCTGAACAAGCTTGTATATCCGCAACCAGCTGTTCTACCGTAACTGGCTGTAATATCCGCAACTAGCTGTTCTAACTTTTCCAACTGTTATATCCGCAACCAGCTGTTCTATCTTACCCTCATGTTATATCCACAACAAGCTGTAATACTGGAACCAGCTTGTCTGTTCGTAACCAGCTGTTCTACGGTACTCAGCGGTTCTTTACGCAGCTAGCTTGTCAACTGCACCAAGTTGTTTTATTCGCAACCAGTTGTTTACCGCAACGATCTATTTATCTACAACCAGTTGTACTACGGTTACCAGCTGTTATATTCGCAATTAGCTGGAATACCAACAACCAGCTATTCTACTCGCAACAGGTTAACGGATGTGTAGAGTACTCATTAGGGCTGTCATTAACTATTGTCCAATAGAATTTATTGTCCAATAGAATTTGAGGTATATTTTTAAAGCTCTGCCTACCAAACAAAATCACCGGGGAGGAAGTGCTACACGAGGGATTGAGTTCTTATGATAACTTGTCAAGGAGTTCTTCTGATAACTGTCACTGAGTTCGTCGGAAACCTATTGTATATACTGCAAAAACACTCGTCAAAAATGGTTACTTTCATCTTTAAAAGGTGAGTTTTAGGTGCTAAATTAAGATTGCCTTACATATTGTTTTATGTGTCAAAAACTAATTCATAGTCCATTTTCAGCGCCTCTTGCTTAAAATCTTACACAAAACTACCAGATTTTAAGCAAAAGGCAATGAAAAATAGACTATGAATTAGTGTTTGGCACATAATACAATATGTTGACCAAGCTTAATCATTGACGTTTAATTTAGCACCCAAACTCATTTTTAAAAGATGAATATCACCGTTTTTTACGAGTGCAGTATATACAATAATTTTCCGACGAACTCCGTGACAGTTATTACAAGAACTCCTTCACAAGTTATCATCAGAACTCTATCCTTCATGAAACACTTCCTCCCCCGTGAATAATGGAATTGATTATCTAAAAGTCGTTGAATTCTTATCAGTTGTTAAAATTTATAAAAAGGTGTTACTTTCAAATGACTGGTTATGTGCAATTGAACTTTTTAAAGGGAGAAGCATCTAAAAGAATCAGAAACTCTGAGCGGCTTTATGAAACAATTTTAAAGACGTTACTCGGGCTCTTTACGAACTGCTTTGCTTAAAAAGGCAACATAATCTTTGTTTCTGGACTTTGACTTATTTAAACATGCTTATCAAAATGTGTGTGGTCGGACTACAGTATAGCAATTAAGAATACCCCTACTTGATCACAGATGTAGACCCTTTTGATATAATGGCGGACTGTCAAAGTGGAGAAATGTCGGTGTCAAACTTTTTCATCTATAACATTTTTTTCTTAAATATGTCTGGCCATAATATTTATGATAAGCATCTACATATTTTCGCCAATTGTCTAATTATCTTAATCATTAGTAAAATCATGACCTCCTCCTCCTCCTACCAATTAAGCTATGGCTACGGTTACGTCTACCACTATTATAACTTAGAGTATGTCTACGACTACGAGTTTTACGAGTTTACAGACGCCTTAAGTGACCATGACCCGAAAGATAATGACGACTTCGACCAAGTATACGACTTCATCTACGACCACAACTAGCAATTGCAGCCATGACCACTGACCTACGACTTCCATGACTATAAGCACTTCAAGCAATTGACATGTACGACTTCAAGGCGACATCAAAACAAACGACATCCTAAGCAAAATTATGCTAGACATCTACGATCACCAAAACAGCTACAACTAACAGGGCGATTACAAGTACTACGACTAAAAGACTTCGGGTACAGTGACAACCATGACTACGAATACATTGACAATATGACTACGTCGACGAATTCTTCGATAAATGATTGTGACTGAGAGTTTGGAAGTACGGTTATAATTATGACGACAACGATTACAGCTTCGACGATAATTACAACTACTATGGCTGTTTCATTTACAAATACGACCACGACAATACCGACGGCTGCACCTATAATCATAGCTTCACAACTGTGCAATTACAACTACGACTAGGATTTTTACGAATGCATTTGAAAACATGGAGATACATACAACGACGTCGGCTACGACTGTGGATAACGCTTTAACTACCACGACAAAAATAACAGATATGACAACTTCTACTGACGATGACTAATACAACCAAGACTATTACAACAACACCTTCATTACGACGACCAGAATTATTGTAATAGGTTTTTCTGAAATAAATTTACCTTTGACCTTCTGAATGTAAAACTTAAGCTGTATACGTTCTCAACTTATGAGTACAACTCACTGTAATCTATATACGTCGTTTGTTGTATACGGTATCCTCTGGTATGTTTGATTCTTACTTAAATGTTAAGTGTAAAAAGACTTACTTTTTTTACTTTCTTCATATGTTGACTCTGTTTCTGCTTTGTCATCTACATTAAGACATTAAAATACAATAAACTAATATTGTGCAAACTTGTATTGCAGATAAGTGTAAAAATAGTTTTACAAAATAGTGTCTGCATTTATTTAAAGAACTCCACTGAGGTACAATAGCCTTAAATAATATATTTTGAAATTCTTTCTTAAATCAACTGATACATTTAAATTTGTAATCAATCAAAAGATGATATATAGATATACACGCTATGAAATTGATAATCGATTTTTATGCGAATTTTGGGTCAATTTGTATAATGAAATTGATTATTTCTGGGAAACAGAGTGAGCGAATGATCTGAAACTTTTTACACGAGTTGTTGGTCTAGACATACATCTAGTTATATAAAACTCTTGGAAGAATATTTTCTGTCCCTTCAAGTCAAAAATTCCTCAATGGAATCCCTTTAAATCCGATTTCGTCAGATTGAAATATAAAATGATAAATAAGGTGACATATTATATGAGCACTAAATTATAATCATAAAAAGAAGTAAATACTGTTTTATTAAATTGATGATAAATATAATGAATGTAATGATCATTTTAAGTATTTGGTAGAAAGCTCCATAACTTTCCGATAGGCAATCATTGGTCTTATAAATATTTGAAAAAATATCTATTATTCTTCGCTCTATTTTAAGATTTTCATGATATGTTTTTGTTCAGTTTTATAACGAATATAAGAAATATCAAACATCTTGAAATAAACTGCAATTTGAGATTTACCTTTTCTAGTTTCTTCCTTTAGCTTCAATTCTTGTATTTGTTTAGCATGGTCATGTATTTGTTTATCATGTTCACACGTCTTCTTCTTTAATTCATCAATACTCTGTGCATGCTTTCTCGTGGTTTGATCTTGCACTTTCAGAGTACGTTTTATCTTCTCGTCCTCCATTTTCAACAGTTTTAAATCAGCTTCTACCCCCTTTTCCAACGTTTGCCAACTGTCTATGGCCTTCTGAACCCTTATCTCCGCCTGTGGATCGAGTGGATTCACTTTAAAGTCATCAATCATCTTTTGTAGATCTGGTATGGGTGACACCGCCGTGTTCAACCTCAAAAGAACCTGGAAAAAGACATGGTAAATGCCATCAAATTCATCCAATCAATTTCATGTAAAATCACATTCCAAAATATTAACATAACGAGGGATGATCGAAATGTATTGCTTATTGCTATCTGGAGACTTCAAATTTCAAGTTAGCTCAAAAGTATTCATTTCATGCCCTCGAAGCACTCCCCTTGGCTAGAAATGCAACGTTTCAGCCGATGTATCCACTTCTTGAAGGCGTCACGGTACGCTGATTTGGGTACAGTAAAAAGGTACTGATGAATGGCAGATCCAAGTGCCTGTCGGAACTTGTATTTCCGCCCAGCAAAAAGAAGGATTTCAATTTCGGAAACAAAAGGAAATCACATGGGGCAAGGTCTGGAGAATATGTGTGGTGAGGCATAACAGTTTTTTTTCAAAATCGCCGAAACTATTGCGGGGGTGTGAGCGGGGGCATTGTCATGTAGAAGACGGATATGCTTAAAACCAGTGACAGGGCTTCGTTTATTATAATACTTTTTTCAGTTTCTTAAGTACTATGTCTTTGTAGTACTTTCCAGTGATACTTTTGCCCCTTTTCACTGGCACTTTTATTGCGACTCCTTCACCAGAGAAGAAAATTGCATTCAACACTTTCTTTGCACTGAAAGACCGTTTGGCAATTATTGGGCGATTGTTGTGTTTAGTGGCCCAGTTTTTGTTGCTTACTTTTCTGACGGGCTCAAAATAATGGACACAAGTTTCAACATCTCTGATGACATTGGCACACTGTTTTTTGTCATATATTTGAAACATTTGAAGCAGCTTTTTGGCAACCTTAACCCCGTTGCCCCGTTTTTCTCATCGGTCAACAGATGCGGCACCCATCAAGCAGAAATCTTTCTGACTTTCAAATGCTTCTTCAAAATAAAGTGAACCGTTTAAAGTGATATGCCTACCTTTCGTGCAATATCACGAGCCATAAATCTGGAATATCCTTTAATGATACCCTTTATTTTGGAAACGATTTCGTTACGAGATGCCTACCTGATGTTGGTGCATGTTTGATGCACTCTACACCAGACTCAAATTTCATTTCCCATCGCCTAACTGTGTCTTAAGACACAAAGGAAGGCCAATAAGCAGTACAGAGTTCAGTCATCAACTGCTTCATAGAGCAACCCAGTTTCAAGCGAGCCTTGATGTAAGCCCGTATTTCATCTTTTTTGTCGTCGCTTCTACCAACCATTTTCACTACAGTGGTCAATCAATGACTGCGTGTATTAAAATAGCAAATTTTATGTCTTACACTAAGTCTAACATGAACATTTATACACCGTTGTGTAGGTATTGAATTACCCTATACAGGTATGCATTGGTTTTTATCCTGTCCAACGTGGATCACGAAATAGAGGACAATAAGCAATTCTTTTCGAACAGCTCTCGTATATATTGAAAATAAATAGCTAATGATATGTACTTAAATCATTTTCACCTCTTTTAGTGCTTCAGATATAAAGTTAGAGAAGTTCAATATGAGAATTATGTTGATGCTTATGCAGGTGTCACACTGTCCCAAAAATGGCACAAGATGGGGAAATGTTTGATGCTTGATATGAAATAGCAGAGATAATTACGTAACCTGATTAAATACAGGTCTTTCTTATCAGGAAAAATTCCAGGGAGCGATAATTATTGGTTCCAACTCAATGATAAAGCTAATGTCACATAACCGCTCCGATGCTCCGACGATGGGGTAATGACCGGTTTTTATCTGAGATTCGGAGATTTATCTGGTGATCGGCGCATCGGCCTCTTAAATAGCGTTTTTTATCAGTGAAGGGCCGGCCACAATTCCTTGTCAACCTCGGTGACTTATCTCCGGCGTTCGTCCATCTACGACCGACATTGTATACATAACCGAAGGTTGTGAGTTTTTCCGACTCTTTCTCAACCGTCAATTTTTACATCTTTGGACGGGCCTTTTTTTGCCCAATGATCAAAGGAAACTAGAGCTACGCCTTGAGGTGACCGCTAGACACCCCCACAAACAAACACACACACACACGCACACACGCACACACACACAAATACACACACATGTCTTTCAGTGGCTTTTTCCCAACCATTTGGGGGATCTCCCAGTTTAACGACTCTCCCTTAATGAATTTTCAGAGGAAACACTATGGTAAGATGCAATCGTTGTAAAAATGTAAAAATAATTTATCTTGGTTCACGATTAAAGATTAATAAGATATAAGAAAATAGAAAAAGAATATTTGTTTATGCGTGAAGTGCTATAAACATGGGTTTACATCAGTACATCCCTCATGTACAGACTCAATCAAACCGAGTCTGTTATATTCATGTAATTATGTTGTGATTAATGCCTACGAGGGATCAATTTATTTCCAGATTTTTACAGTAACTTATTTGTAATATGTATGGTCAGTTTTACCTGTTCGATCTCGGTCCACTTTGTTGTGAAGACAATCAGCGTTATTCCACTTGTTGAAGATATGTGACTGAGCTAAAGAATGAGTGAAAATATACATGTGCATTTATAACAAATTCATAGCTGTAACAAAATGAAAGTATTATAGTAGACTAATGCATCATACAATTATACATCTAATGTAAAAACACATTCGTTGCAATATCACATATAATATAACTCATACATATCTTTTTGTTTCAGTTATAATCAGTATAAAAATAAAATGTAAATATAGGTTATAGATTAACTTCAATAATTCAAAAGTTAGCTCAACAAAACCCTTAAAATACCTAATATTTGTGTATCACAAGAACGTATACATTATAGAAAAAGCATTGAATATAATCTGATGTGTACGAGGGGTTGTAGATCCCAAGTATTAATCAGATTGCCGTGTGTGGTGATGTTGTTTCGCTTATGTATCATTGGCAAAAATAAAACTACTTTACCTCGTTCCTGTATATTTTCAGACGAGAAATATCAGCCTCAACTGAAGTATCACCTTGTGTAGGAATTGAGTTCCATTGGAACTTCTTGTTCAGTCCGAATGACTTGATGTTCCTAAGGAGACATATGATTAACGTGATGTCTAGGTCTGTTGTAGTTGGACCGCTGCCACCTGATGGAAACAGTAGATCATATTGCACCTGAGTAATTATTCCGCGTGATCTTAGTTTGATTATTGTTGACCTCTCTTGTTGCAAAAATGCGCTTAGAGAAACATTTTGAAGTTTCTTATCAAACATGTTTCTTAGTATTTGTAGTCCGCCGTCAATAATCAGCATTTGCAGACGAAAAAGACGGCAACGATTCTGCTGCGCCTTTGCCGGCGAAGCTTGACCTGGACTGGCGGTCGCCATTTTCTCTGATATCAGATCATCAATAGTATCTGTAAAAACATAAACATACTGATCTAAAAATCAAGAATTGATGTCAGGATAGCATTAATAATAACCATATACTAGTCATGCTTTGCAGTTGTTAAAAAAATTATTGAGATGAAATACGAGTTAGAATATGATGAAAAATCTTTTAGATAAGTTTAAGAAATGAATGAATTGTCAGTAAAAGCATCAAATTTGGGAAATAAATGAAGAATCAGTAAAAATATTAAGTTGAAGAAATAAATGAAGAATGAGTGTGAGTATAGAATGAAGGAAATAAATAAATAAAATCAGCAAGAATATTCAGTTTAGTTCAGGAAATGAATGAGAATAAGTGACGGTATCAAATTAACGAAAAAAATGAAGAATAAGTGAGAGTTTTAAGTTTGAGAAATGAATGAAGAATCAGTGAGAGTATCAAATTTCGCCAATGAATGATGAAACAGTGAAAGCAGGGCTTCCATTAGTGGAAGTTTGGGAGTCATGGGTTCCTTGTTTTTGGCTTGTTTCTTTCAAAATGAAATGCTTTTCCTTCTTTACCTATACAATGTGACTTCCATTGTTAGGTATTTTGCTTTCTCTTACTTCCTTATTTTGGATCCTAATGGGAGCCCTGTGAACGTATTTAGTTTAGGGAATGAAAGAAGAATCAACGAAAGATTCAAATTTAGGAAATAAATACAGGATCAGTGAAAGTATCAACGACAAATGTGAAATGTATATTTCTTAAACATGTACTAATACATCAATTAAAATCGGCACGTTTCGGTAAACTGTTATGTTATATGGTGTGTTATGTGTTGTGTTCTATTGTGCCTCGCATTGTATTATGCTGGGTGTTACATTGTATGTTGCCTTGTATTATATGTTGTGAAGTGTGTTTATTTATATGTTGTATTTTGTGTTATGTTGTTCTTGAATTGAATTGTGTTGTATGTTGTGTTGTATTTTATCGTAAGCGTTGTTTTATGTATTAAATGTTGTGTTGTGTATTGTGTGGTGTGTTGTGTGTTTGATTGTATTGTATATTAAGGTGCGTTTAGTTGTGTAATGTTTTGTGTTTTGTTGTGTGTTGACTTGTATTGTTTGTTGTGTTGTATTGTTTGTTGTAAGTTCTATTGTGTTTGTTGTGCTGCAATGTATAATGCTATGTTGTGTGTTGTATTGTGATATATGTTGTATGTGTCTAGTTGAGTGTTCTTTTGTGTTATGTTGCGTTGCGTTGACTTACGTTAGATTACGTTACTCATTAAATTATGTTATGTTATTTCTATGTGTGACGTTATTTGGTGTAGAAACTTTCGTTAATTCACTTGTAACTAAATGTAGTAACGGAATTACCGGATTTGGTAAAACTGCGCATTGCGGTGTGGTTAGCGACAACATAACCTATATTGTTATCGCCTTTTTGTCTTGTCGCTAGCGACAACACGTCAAAGTACCAAACAGCGCTTTGTCATACTGTCGTTCTGTCTCTAGCGAAACACGCCAAAAGGCGCGTTGTCATGCGGCGCGTTGTCGCGATGTCGCCCCCTGTTGCTTGTCTTATAGGAAAATCCTTCGATTTGAACCGAGCGACAATTAAGCATCGCGACAACACGCCGCACGATAACGCGCCGTTTGGCGTGCATCGTTAGCGACAGGACGACAAAACGAAAGTCCGACAACGCGCCGTTTGGCTGGCGCCAACACGACGCTCAAAAGCGTTTCAAATCAGCCACCATACTTTGCAGCCCCTAATCATAATCAACTTGCTGTGCACAAACGAAAAAACTGACGTCACAGTTAACGTCATGAAAACAACTAGCTGTTAAAAAGTGAACGTAGGTGTTAAGCACGAATCACTTGATGAAAAGCCTATTTTGTACAATCACAGTTTTATTTAAATTAGTGTTTTACCAATTACCTCGAAAAAAATAAACATAATACTTGCTTCTTGATATAAGTGTTCTTTGTATACACACAAGGGAAGAAACTCTGTAGAAGTATTGTACAGTAGAAATCTACAGACACAAATTTCAACAAAAGAATATCAAAGTTTGTTTTAAATGCTACTTTTAGATCTATCAAGTGTATAAAAGACATTGTCGAGCCAGAAAGTGATAATCGGCTTGAGCCCTCGGGGCAATTATTCATTTTGAGGACCGTTTATCACCTTCTATCCCTTCTTTGCCGTGTATTAATATCAAATTATCCTTTCGTATTTAAAAAAAACGTTTATTTAACACAACGTTGGATTACGTTGTGTTACGTTATTTGATTATTATAATTTTATGTCATTTATATTTACAGTTGTTGATTTAACATAAACTATTACCATTTCGAGATATTGATGGACTGATACCGAGATAGTAATGCATATATTCTGCAAATGTGATGGAGACATTTCAACAATGTACGGAATATATTTTGAGATAGTGTGGGTAACTTTTTGAGTTAATGTAGGTTACATTTAGAGATAATGTTAATTACATTTTGAGATAGTGTAGTTTTCTTTCGAGATAATGTAGGTTACATTTCGAGATAATGTAGGTTACATTTCGAGATAGTGTAGGTTACATTTTGAGAAAGTGTAGGTTACATTTGAGAAAGTGTAGGTTACATTTCGAGATAATGTAGGTAAGATTTTGAGATAGTGTACGTTATATTTCGAGAAAGTGAAGGTTATATTTCTAGATAGTGTAGGTTACATTTTGAGATAATGTAGGCTACATTTTGAGATAGTGTAGGTGACATTTTGAGATAATGTATGTTACATTTTGAGATAATGTAGGTTACCTTTCGAGATAGTGTAGGTTTGATTTCAAGAAAGTTTAGGTTATATTTTGAGATAATGTAGGTTACATTTTTAGATAATGTTGGTTACATTTCGAGAAAGTGTGAGTTACATTTCAAGATAGTGTAGTTTGAATTTCGAGATAATATAGGTTACATTTCGAGATAGTGTAGGTTACATTTCGAGAAAAATGTAGGTTAGATTTTGAGATAATGTAGGTTACATTTTGAGGAAGTGTAGGTAACCTTTCGAGATAATGTAGGTTATATTCCGAGATAGGGTAGTTAACATTTGGGGATAGTGTATGTTACATTTCGAGAAAGTGTAGGTTACATTTTGAGACAGTGTAGGTAACATTTCGAGATAATGTAGGTTACATTTCGAGATAGTGTAGGTTACATTTCGAGATAGTGTACATGTAAGTAACACTTCGAGAAAGTGTAGGTTACATTTTGAGATATTGTAGGCTATAGTTTGAGATAATGTAGGCAACATTTCCAGATAGTGTACGTAACATTTCGAGATAATATATGTTACATTTTGAGTTAATGTAGGCTACAAATTTGAGATAATGTAGGTTACATTTTGAAATAATGTAGGTTTCTTTTCGTGATAATTTAGGTTACATTTTGAAATAGTGTAGGTTACTTTTCGACGTTACGAAATTTGTTTTGCTTACTTTGCGGGACAGTGTTTGATATGTTGAGATAGTAAGGGATATATTCTGAAAATGCGATGGAGGCATTTCAAAAAGTGAGAGATATATTTTGAGATTCTGCGGATTATATTTTGAGATAGTCTTTGGTTACATTTCGAGTTAGTACAAGTTACATTTTCAGACAGTGCGAGATATACTCAGAGATGTGTAGGGTATATTCTGATATAAACCATGATTTATTCCGATCTAATACACTGAGAAAATGCAAGATTTATTTAATGTGCGTTCATAAGGTTGCATTTGTTTACTTTAAAAAAATCTATTAAATGTTTTGCAAATATTAAACAAAAAAGAGCGCATCGCCAAATATCATAAAACAATCTAGAGCATAAGAGAAACTTGATGATTAATACAAACAAAATAATTCTGAAACATTAGGCTTATAGGGAAAAAATTATAACAATATCTTCCTTATACTTCCCTTAATAGAAAAATACAGTACAAAGCATAAATTGTGATTTTCAAAGTAAAACATTTGCAAAAAGATAAATATTTCCTAAATTCCATTGCTGGTTTTATTTTTATTTCAAAGACAAGAGTAATGAACATTTGTTTAGATGATCTAGGCATGATACGTGCAAAATATATTTAATTTCTCAGCCATATGGTTCCAATACAAACATAAATCCATGAAGTCAAATATTCTTAGATCAGGCGAAGTTTAGATCAATTCTGTTGTAAAGTTTCATTCTGCTTTATGACTGTGTGCAAAAATGGCTGTGAATCAAGAATGGAGTAAAAAAGGACTCTATCTGCTGTTTAGTTTTTTATAACTATGAGAACTTTATATCATTACTCAATAAATGAGGAACATATTAAATAAACAATTGTTTTCTTTTCCAACGAAACGGATCAAAAAGAAGAATAAAAGGATAAAAATATCAAGTTAGCAAAGTATCGAAGAACGATTCTCTAAGGTGCTAGTCAAATGCATATTTCGAAAGAAAGTTTCTTTTATTTCAAAGTGTTCCAGATATTTCATTTTTACTGGAAGAAGAAAATGAACATTTTAATGGTTATTATCCCCCGCCGAAAGGCGGCGGGGGATATAAAAATAGTCTCCGTCCGTCCGTCCTTCCGTCCGTCATTCCGTCTGACATTTTTGTCCGGAGCATCTAAAAAGTATTTGAGGTATCAACTTGAAACTTCAAAGGTGGATAGACCTCATTGAGGAGGAGTGCAGTGCTTAAGAATGATAACTCTACCCTGCATATTTTTTTTTATTTATTGCCCTTTGTTATTTTTCAAAATTAATTTTTGTCCAGAGCGTAACTCAAAAAGCCTTTGAGATATCAACATGGAACTTCATAGGTGCATAGATCTCACTCAGGAGGTGTGCAGTGCACAAGAATGATAGCTCTACCTTTCATAATTTTTGAGTTATTGCGCTTTGTTAATTTTCATACTTACTTTTTCACCTGAGTGGGGCGTAACTCAAAAAGTGTTTGAGATGTCAACATGAAATGTCATAGGTGGATAGATCTTATTAAGGAGGAATGCTGTGCGCA